TTGGCCACGTCCTGCCCAGCCCCAGCCCAGCCCAGGATCTGTACTTGCAGACTGCAATCCAGCTGCTATGCCTGGCTGTCCCAGTTCTGCTGACTGCTCATTGCCTCAGTGCTTTCATATGCATTGCCTCATGTCTTTCCTGGCGTCCAGGGCTCTTGAGCAATTGGCAGGATATCACCCGCAGAGACTGGTTGCTGAGTGGTTATTTTAACCCACATATCTTTCTTCCTGTCTACAAGCTGCCTGCTCAACATGACAAGTCTGGAACAGCTTAAATGAATGTGGCACCAAAAATAAACAGTTCATTCCTGGGAACCTCATTCCATACAAATGCCCAGTGGACACACTTATGCAACTGAGCAAAGCGACACTTTCTCGACTGAAGCCTCTCCCTGGGTTACTCTCATTCTCACTCAGATGGTGACCCTTCTTCTGGGCACAGCCCTTTCAGGCTGCTTTGAAAATTCAGCTCTATGTATTTGTGCGATTGTGTTCCCCCTTCCCTTGTCATCAGCATTCCCTTCCCTGCACAACTGTAGGAGCTCACAGAACAACTCCCTCCCATTTCCTTACTCCTCAAACTTGGTCTTTGGACCTCCCAACTCCATGGAAGCCACAAACCAGCTACTAGATGAGAAGGAGATTTACCAGGAGATGAACCACTGTAATGTGAGTTGCATTTGTGCTCAGGCCCAGCTGACAAACCCTGTGAGGCAGCTGGGTGTGTCCCAGAGGCAGAGAAACAGGCTGTGCTAACATCACACTGTGATCAAGAATCAAGAATTATTAAGGCCAAACCCCAAAGCTGCACTTACCCACCAAAAATCCTAACCTAAAAGTCACGTCCTCCAGCAGAAATCCCACCGGATGGGCTGTGTGAGCACTGGAGTGCAGAGAACAAGCAGAAGGGGATGTATGGCCACAGCAGGGAAGGAGGAAGATCTCAGTGTTTGTAACACTCCTAAGCCAGCTCCTCCCACATGGGCCCCATGACCACCTTCACTGCCAATGCAAAACAGCTTTTTTGGATAGGAATTTGTCAGGAACCACTGCTGAGTGTCTCAGTCTGGCCATGCACCCAGGGGCACTGGGGGACCTGGCACTGCAGGGCAAGAGCAGGACTTGAACTCGTGGTGCTGCACCAGGAGCTGTGGGGGGGACTCAGGTCTGCTCCCAGCACCCCCAAACTGAGCTTCAGGAGATTTAATCATGAGTTTAATGCTCATTCACACTCTGTCTTTTTGCTGCTTCCCATAAAACTAAAGGTTAGTTCTGCTCAGCTGCTAAGCAAGAAAGAACTACACATCCTGCCTAACACAGGCTAAACATACTGGTTTTATGTGGCAAGTGGTGAATGAGACATTTCTAATTATCCTTTTGCTTGAAATAGTTCAATGCTGCAACTGATGGGAATTAGGAATATGTTGTAGAGTAATGACAGACCAACAAGTTTGTCATTTCTGAAAATCCAACTGAATGCATGTTTAAAATTTAGTTCAATGTCCTTTAAATCCTGAGAACTGGCAATTCTCAGGCTTTTCCAAGAATTTCTACTCTAAATCGAAAGGAGGAAATAAATTTTTTTTTTGGTCTCAATCTCACCTCAGCTTGGCACAAACTGATTCAAAAAAAAGAAGATACTTCCCTTGACCCTCTCTCCAGTCTGGAATAAACAGTACTGGAAAGCAAAGCTTCCCTGTGCAAATAGGAATGAGAAGTGTTGACATTTTAAAAACTGTAAATGTTAAAATTTGTTGCACTGGAAGTTCTGACAGTAATAGTTCCCTAATGCAGCAGATTAAATTGAGACATATTTATACAGCTTAAATCAACCTCGAAAGTTCAAAATATTTCCCAATTCCCTACATAATTTTAACTGTTCTCTTTCACATTCATAACATCGAGCAAGTTTAGACTTCAACAAACCCTGACAATTCCAATTAGATTTTCCTTTTGATGGCTGTATTTTAAGGTGTCGAAACTAAAGAGCTTTTTTTCTCCCTTTTGCTTTTATTTTTCCTTTTGAATTCCCACAATTTTCTTAATCCCTCTTGGCTTTTATTTGACAATGGAGTCATCCATAGTGTCCAAAACAACAGATTAAGATGGATTAGGCTGTAAACACTAAAGGTAGAGATGGTCATTGCCCCTGAGGTTTCCTGAAGCCAGACAGAAGATGAGATAACAGGGAGATCCCAAAGCCTGGGAGCTGTGTGGTTCCAGAGTGCACCAGTGCAGGGCCCAGCAGGGATCTTCACTGTGGAACACAACACTCAGCTTTGCCCCTTTCCACGGTTTTCCCTTCCCAAGCTCAGGCTGATCATCACTGGCTTTTGCAGAAGAGCATTACACAGGTTGGCCTTGAAATATTGTTTGGCCTCTTGAGAATTTAGTCCAGAAAACCCCAGCATGTGTCAAGACTCAGCAAAATGACCCCCACCAGGGAGGGTTTCCTTGAAAGCAGTTTTATGGCACCTCACTGAATAACAACTTCTACATCCCAATGGGATAATTCCATGTTTCAGGATCAGGTCATGGCACTGTTTTCTGGACCTTAGGTCAGCAGAGGGTAAACAGAAGCTTCACGTGACTTGGGACCTTTTCTGCCTGTGCTCTCGAGGCGGCACAAGCGAGTAACTAGAACATTTTAGCAGGATACTATTTTTAAAGCACTGTGAAACTTCCAGGCTTCATCAAAAAGAAGTTTAAGGGGCTGTGGAGACTCTTTTCCATGAATACAAATGATACTCCCCAATCACATCATGGACGACAGCTGAAGAGTCCTTCTCCATCCACTCCATGGCTCCATCCCACCCTGCTGGGAGACAAACCTGCTACTGGAGGAGACTCAAACCAGCCACAAAGCAGAGTTTGCCATGCAAACACAACTGCTGTTTTATGGGCAGTAGAATGCCAGGGCACTCAGACAAGGATATCAGGTACCTGCATTCACTGTGACAAGGACTAGGGTTGTGCACAGGGGAGAGACATCTGAAATCCAACGTTTTCCATTCTAGTTGTCTTATTCTCCCCAAGGACTCCCAACAGCACTGCATCCAAGTCTGGTTTAGGTGGTTTTAGATGCTCACCTTCCTGCTCTGCTCATCTTCCCCCCTCACGCCAGACATGAAGGGGTCTGTGGCCCTGCAGTCAGGATGATGACACGGGGAAAGAGCAGAATGTCCCCAGATGGGTGGCCTAAAAACCTCCTACTGCTCCCTTTGACATCTCTTTACCTGAGCCTGCAACGCACAATTCACATCCACAGAGAGCGAGTGCAATGATGCATTTAACAAGGCCAACTCACACAGCTTGGGCTGCTCAGCTGGGACCTACATTTCCCTCCCAAACCTGGTGACTGTTCCTTACAGCAGCAGCAGTGTGGTGACAAGCAGCAGATGGGAGTGGGAGGTCGGAAGTGTCCATCCTTCTGTCATTCCCCACCACATTATCCCCAGCTGCTTCCCTGCTGGATTGGGCTCAAGGGAGGACAGGCCAGTAGTGCCAGAATTACCCCAGAGTTCACGTCCCACACGTGACACTGAGCCATGTGGTGTTTGTGCCCCCACTGAAACACAGCCATGGAAAGAAGGAAAATGGGGAGGCAAAGACACAGCAGCTCTTCCAAAAGGCAGTTACTGAGAGCCCTGCCTGGACACCTGAGCACACGGATGCCTGAGAGCTTTCCAGGGCCTCTCTGATCACCAGTGACACTCTCAGTAACTGGTCATGCTCACCCAGGCTGCTGTCAATGAAACCACTGGGACTGACTCCTGACAATGTGAAGGAATAAAAGAAGAGAAATGGCTTGGAGCGAGAGCTGGAAAAGAGCACTGAATGGGACACACAGCAAGCAGCACAAAAATGGAGTCAAAGAGAAAACAGGACTGGGGAAGAAAAAGGGATGCAGGATAAAGGAAGGGAAAAGGGGAAAAAGTTTATGCATCCCCATGCCTGGCTTTGAGGAGTGTGTCAGCTGCTTAATGCAGAAAGGAACTGCTTCTAACTAGAGCCCAGCTCCTCTCAAACCAGTCCTGAGCAGCTCACTCGAGTTCCTCAGGTTTCCTGGCTCAAACAAAAGATAAGGTGAGCACCTTGTAACTCCCCTGCAGCCTGCCAGGCCCTAGACTGAGCCACTAAAACAAAGTGACACTGCATGTGGTGCAAACAGAAACACTCCTTACAATGAAAGAACACCAGCAAATCCCATGAAACTCTACTGTTTGTAAGAATTTCTGGCTTTGTTTGGGTTTTTACTGTGAGCTTTTACTCCTGTGCTTTAAATGTTGCAGCTTGGATAAAAACAGATTGAGAAGGATGAGTGTGATGTGAGTTGGTACAAGGAGATGCCAGGGAGAGTCTGGGAGATGTGTCACAGCAACAGTGGGTCAGTATTTAATAGTTCAGACAGAACTCAAGTTTTGGACTAAATACAGCCACTCCTCGTGTGTGCTTCTTGTCAGTGGTTCCTGGACCCCCTCCCATGCTACACGTTCATCTCCTCCCAAATTTAAAAAGAGGTTTGCAGCCAGAAGGTTTTACAATGCAGCTTTCTTGGCTCTAGGGATGAGCTGTTTGATAGGAAGGAAGATGTTTTTGCCCTTGCCCTGTAGGCTGTACAGGGCTTCACAGGAATAAAAAAGGTAAAATTTACAGGAATAAAAAAGGTACAATCTCAGACTGCTGCTTTCACAGGGCCCCAGAGGAGTCAGGGACCCAAATGGTATACTGGCATTTTAAGGTGTGCACTTCAAGGCTTTGAAACCCTTCAAACCACTCCTAGTACCCACAGAAGACAAGACACGAGGAGCAGAGCTGCTGAGAGCCCAGGGGCACGTTCAGGGCAGCAAACCAGGCTGCTGGCTCTGGCAGTCAGTGAACGACAGTGCTCTGAGCCGTGTCTGACAGCCAGGCTGGGCTGCCTGACAACAGCCCCTGCAGCTCCCCAGGTGGAACAGGACTAATGGGTACAAGGGCCTGAAACACAGAGACGAGCTCACCTGATGGGTTCTGCTTACACCTCTTTTCTTTAGGTTTTTCTGTCCCCGAATGACCAGCTGTAATTGTGGTGAATGCTTGGATTAGTACAGGATTGTTCCCCAAAACATAACACGCAGTATTTCAGTAACAAACAACTTTTTTCCCCATTCACCATCATCCACTCTGCTACCACAAGGGCGTTTTCCAACACCATGTCTTTCTTTTTCAGCATGCTCCAGAAAGTGTCTTATTTGCTTCAGAGGCAGATACAACCCCCCCAACAGACCTGTAACCAGCTCCATTCCAGCCAAAGGCAGTGAAAACACCACATTTTGGTACTCTTGGATGGGGACTGGAGGGAGACCGGGCTTTTCTGTCAGCACCTTATTTATCTCTGCACCAAGATGCCAAAATTACATTTCATCTGGTTTGTCATGCTCCAATTAGGGAGCACAGGAGAATTGCAGTGGCCCACTGGAAGGCAGGGCAATACACAGGAAGAATAAAAGTCTTGTAGAGAAAATTCTGTCAACAGTGTGCCTAAACAAAATTGTCTAGGCCAGTGGTTATGTTCAGTTACTACCACTTGGACTTAAAATGAAAAGAAACTCCAGAAGTGGAGTAAATTTTCATTCCTTCTAGCAGATGTATTTTGGTCCCACATCTGGTACGCTGTGACCTCCATGCAGTGAACCCACAAACAGCTGGATGCTGGTTACAGTGACATGTAAATAAACTGCCACACTCAGCACCCTTGTAACATGCACTGAGCATCACTCAGTGCTCAGCTCAGCTTCTCTTGCTTGTTGCTGGCTTTGTTTCACCAGGACTGCACTGACACACGGACACAGCATGAGCAGTGCTGCATCTCCATCCATCCTTCCTCCACGTCTTTGCTCCCTGCTGAAAAATCTATGCTAAAGTACCCGGTCCTTGGGAGCAGGATTCCCATATCACCTTTTTTACAGGTTTGGAATGCCAGGAGCCTGGGGAGGAGGGAGAAAAGGGCACTACCCCAGGAGGGCTGGCTGCCTGTGAGCTTAACCAAAGTGCCCCAAATACCTCAACAATCACTGAGCACAGCTGATTCCTGCTTGGAGAGGAATGTGGTAGCAAGAGCAGGAGGGGGTGAACTCACTTACCACTGGAGTTCTGGCAATTGCTGTTTGTTTCTTCAAAGTTGTTTTGCGCTTTGCCTTCCACTCTTCTGCTGAAAGCACTTTCTGCTGTGTGGAGAACAAAGCAGGGATGGTGACTGGTCAACACTGGATGCAGAACCATGCAGACAGAAGGCAAGACGACATGCTCCTGTGCCACATAATCACATACCCTGAATACAGCAGAAAGGCCAAATACCTCGTTTTGGAGGCAAATGGAACAGATTCAGTGAAGGCATAACAGGTAGGTATTTTTCTTGAATGCCTTCTGGCTGAGGTGGCCTGGATTGGCTCTTAGGGAGCCCATGAACACCAGTCCTGACTGAACCAGAAAGGTCATGGTTTCCTCCCCTGCAAAAAAACCCAACCCTGATCTTACTCTTCCTTAAGGCAATGAGCAGCCCTTAAAGCCTCTGGCACAGGTGACCAGGTCTGCACACTAATGAGGACCTCACCACAACACCAAAGTGTCACCTACAGAGGCACGATGCCAGCTCTCCCTGTGCTTCCCAGTCACCTGCATTCCCTTCCTAAACACCCTCCTGGAAACATTCCAGTGGAGGCCTGGAGGGCTGTCTCAGAGCCTGCCCACCATGTCTGGAAAAGCTATGGAACATCCTCTGACCCTCTGTGCTTCCCAACAGTGCCCTGACTCCTGCAGTCTCCCCGGGGCCCAGCAGGCAGGCCCTGCTCCCCTGAGTGTGGTGCCAGGCCCTGCTCCTGGCAGGGCACCTGCTCCACACACTGCAGCCACAGCGCAGGGCAGCTTCCCAGGAACTGTGCTGGGAGGCCTCTTCCCGTGGGCAGAGGTGTCTCCTGACCCTGGCAGTGCCCACAGTGTCCCATCCTGCTCAAGCTGGTGTCCCTCAGCACAAGTTCAACACTACAAACAGTGTGAGGTCTTGCTTCACTTCACAGGGTTTGCAGTATCTGGGCAAATGGATTTACTGTAGTGACTCAAAGAATAAACTAGAAATAAAAAAAAATGTTAACTGGCCAAACTACTGTGTGTGGTCTGTGCTGGACTGACCCTTCCCTGTCACCCAATGACATGTGGACACGGCCTGGCTCTGCTGGGCTCTCAGCCTGCAGACTGTGCTTCATTCAGAGTGATGGGGACTGTTGAAAACTCGTATCAGACCATGATTTCAGTCTGGATTTCTGCAGACCATGGAGTGGTCACAACGGCTGCCAGGACTTCCCCAGAGGCCCCAGCTCCTGCAGGCTCCCAGTGCTGCAGTGTGGCTCATACACACGGGCTGCAGGGCTGGTGAGGTCACCAAAAACCTGAACTGCAAGAAGGTCCCAGACCACAGATTTTGGCCCAGCCAATCGCCAGTGGACCCTTCCAAGTCCTGAGCAGGGTTCTCAAACTCTCAATCTACTACATTCCTAACTCCTTCTAAAATTCAGGAGAACAGAAAAACCTGGTAATCAAATGAATTAAAACAGAAACACACAAAACAGGACTGCAAAGGAAATGGAGACATTATCTATGCACCCTACTTGAGAGAAAAATAATAGAAATGAGAGGCCTTAAAATCAGATGGCACAGTGGAAAAAGAGACCATGACAAAATGGTTTGGGTCAACCCACCCCCTCAAGAGACCCAGGTTCAAATCCTGGCTTATGTCACAATTGGAAGTGAATTGGAGGTCTCCAAAAATGCTTGGAAAAAATTTGCATGGTGGTTTTGCCCTCATTCCCTGGCCTTTTTTTTTTCCCTAAGTCTGGCAATAAAAAACTGCTTGGTCTTACTGATCTTACTGTGTCCTTCCCACACAGGAGAGGGCAGCTCCCACCTGCTCTCTCTTTCTCCTTGTATCTGAATCTTCTGTGTGCAAAGCAAACTGATCTGTACAGACCAAGTCAGTGCCACTCTACCAAGGGTCTATGCAAGCCCTGGCAGGGGAATGGTACCTCCCTATCTCTGGAGTTATCCAGGCCCATGTGGAATGTCTCTAACCACAGCACTCAGAAGGCACCCCTTCTGGAGATTCTTCCTGGTAGGTGTTACACGCAATGCCTTTGTACCAGGAATTCCAGAAGCCCTCAGACTGCATTTG